TGGTGGGGATAGAGCTGGGGTGAGAGATCATAGCTATGATAACTATAAAAACACAAATCAGAGGGAAAACAAAAAGAAATGACAATGTTATGTTGGAAAGGCAGTAATGGCTGTCCATCCTTGATACAGGCTTGGGGTGGTGTCACAGAGATATGCTATTGGTGGAATTGTGGGTAATATTTTTTCTTCATTTCCTATAATAAATGCTATTTAAAACACCCACATGTCCTTCTCATAATGGTCCTTGTGGCATTCGGAGAATGGTAATTTCCCACTGGCTTTTCCTGTTCTTTGTAATGTAGGAGTGTGGGATCTGGGAGTAGGCGAGCCAGAACCAGTCCAGCCTTATTCTCACTAGGTGTCACACTTTTGTCCTAACTTACAAAAGCAGCACACAGAGATCTCTACAGTTTGTCATTGTTTAAGTCCCTTGGTCACATTACCCTAGGGAGACTTGGGTGATCTTGAGACAACTCAACAGGGGTACCTCAACCACAAAAGTCTGTAGTTGGGACAGGGCAGAGTTAAGGGTGAATCTAACTGCCCTCACTGTGCTTAGGTACTGAAGAAGACCTGGAATTCTACGTCAGGAAGTGTGGTGACATTCTTGGTGTCACCAGTAAACTACCAAAGGACCAGCAAGATGCCAAACATATCCTTGAGCACATCTTCTTCCAGGTGGTGGAGTTCAAGAAATTGAACCAGGTATAGCGTCTGGAAGGCCCAGTGAAGTGGGAGCCCTTCGGGTGGTGGTATCATCCAGAAACTGGACTTCTTGTGTTTAATGCCATTCATTCATTCTGCAAGTATTTTAGTATCTACTGGTGAACAAAACAGATGACAGTCCCTGCATTTATGGAGGGATTTAGCTGGAGGAGACTGTAAACAACAAACAATACATAAGTAAATCACAGGATATTCTAGGGGATGATAAATGCTATGGTAGAGAAAAGTAGAGCAGAGTGAGAGGGAAGTGTGCTGAAGGTGGCAGTGTGGATATTCAGAATAGGCTCCACTGGAGCAAAGACTTGAAGGCATTGAGGGATTTGGGGACTAGTGTCCCACAGAGGGAAGACCCATGCAGAGTCCCTAAGGCTGGGCTCTGCCAGGCATGTTTGAGGGACAGCAGTGATGCCTGTGTGGCTGGAGAGGACTGAGCTAAGGGTGGGGCAGTACAGGACGTAAGGTCAGCACATTATATTAAGGATCATTTTGCCCTAGACTGAGGACCAGGAACTTAAAATTTTGCCTGGCCTTCATTTTGTCTATCCCTGGACAGGACTTCAAAATTAAAAGCCCAACCGCTATTGTTAAAGGGGCATTCATTTATATACTACTGATGGGAGAATAAGTTGGTCTGACTTTTCTGGAGCTATTTTTTGTAATATCGTTCAGAAGCCTGAAAAATACATATACCTTTGACCCAGCAATTCTAATCCTCAAAATTTGTCTTTGAGAATATAATACTGAATGTGTGTAGATTTACAGTCAAAATGCTCAGTGCAGCATTGTTTTAATGGAAGAAAAGTCTTCATCAGTGGGGAACTGGTTAAGTACCTAGGGTGTATCCTGTAAGATTAAGAATGTTTAGAAGAATGTTTAAGGACTTGGGAGGACATTCATGATACAGTAAATGGGGTGAGGTGGAAGGGCTATAAAACAGTATAAAGAGGGAAAGTCCGTTTTTCTTTAATACATGTATGTTATGCTGAGTAGAAAGACTAATTAGGATCTGAGCCACTACTGGCAGGGGGCTGGATCTGCTGGGTATTCATAGGATACACCTCACTTGTGCTTATGGTGCTAGATGTCGGGGCTACAGCAGTGAACGGGATGAATGCAGTCCTTGCTGTCTGCCTCTGAGCTCCGTGCAGTGGGGGAGACAGGAGTATACGGGCGAGGATGGTGCTCTGAGATAAATGCCAGGAAGGGAACTCAGGGGCAAAGTATTGATATACTTGCTCAGCACTGAAATATGGGATGGGGCTCAGGTAGATTCCCACCAGTACTTACCTGGGTGGCAGGCAAGGAATGGCCCCCAAAGCCAAGGTAAGAAGTTTTATGTGGTCTTTCCATCAGTATCTTCAACTGTGTTTGCTTCCCACTCATCATGGGGCTGGTGGGCTGTGGTCAGAGCCCTGTCCTAATCATGAAAATTTGATCCTTGGTCTGGATTTAGCCTTAAAGCCAGAGATTACCTGTGTGTCCCAATTAAAGATGATTTAGAATCTCTAATCAAAGCCAAAACAACAAAGAATTCACATTTCAGGCTTTGTACTGAAACACTAAAATTCTGTCTTATTCCCTCATCCAGGAACATGATATTGATACAAGTGAAACGGCATTCCAGAACAATTTATGAGGACCAAGCCTCTTGAAGCATTTTCTGCCTCCTGATTCTCTCTGTAAACTTTTTGAATTACTCCTTTTCAAAATTGTCTATATAGTTTTTCCTCTGTGAGCTGTGGAAGGTCTGTGCATCTTCTGTAGTGCCCGGAGAGGGATAACATTTCTAACTTACAAGATCCTTATGTAAGATATGTTCCATTTTTAAAATTAAATCTGTTTGAATCTGTACTTTTATAATTTATGAATCAGTCTTTCATTGAAGTCTTTTCTTTTGACTCCAGTTCTAGATGTGAGTCTCTTTTATCAAAAGCATAAATAACTCTCAAGCTTCTGAATCCTTATAGTTTTGGACTATCAAAAGGATAGAAAACAAACAACCCACAATCTGTTTGCCCCACTGTACCTAATGAAAAAGATTAAATAGTAGATAGGTACCTTCCTTACATAGACCGCTCACTCCTTCTCCCAGCTGCCCACAGGCACAACCATTTGGAGGCTGTTGTCTCCATCCTCACTTCATCCCCCTCTGAGCTCCTGAACCGCTGTATTCTATCATCATTTTCGGTTATGATGCAGGGCAGAATGTGATCATCTGTCCCAAGGACAATGGGAGAGATTGTACCTGCTTGAATGGGGCAGTTGGCATTAAAATGTATAGCTGGGTACTGGATACATTGGGAACCACCTTTGGCGAACGCTGAAAGCCAGACAGAAGATTGAACACCACTGCCAGTGTGTAAGAGATGTGGTACAGTGGGAATAACCTAGCTGGTGGTTCTGTGAAGATGGGAACTGTGGAAGGAAGGTCCTTTGTGGGAGATTGTGAAATAACTCCAAGAAAAAGTAATGAGGATGTGGACTTAAGGTGCTGTTGTAGGAGAGGTGGCATTCTGAAATAGATTTGGTCTGGGGGTTGAAGGTCAGGTTGGCAAGATTTTTGAGCCTGATTGCTTGGGACAGTGGTAGAACAATTGGAAGATGGCGATTCCGAAGGGTGAGCTATTTTGGAGCAAAAGGATCTAATTGAGACAATGGCAATTCATGCAAGTGGTAATGACCAATAAATAGCATAGCAAGACATCCCTAACTGAGGGTTAGAAAAGATCCAGTCTCAAGATACAAGTTGTTCACATGGAGTTGACAATTGAAGCCAGGAGAATAGCTTGTCAAGGAATTCACATTTTTGGAAATTTAAAACCTGGGGGAGAAAGGCTCAAATCACATCCTGAATTTCAAATGATTTATTCGTATTAAAGCTCTGTTCATAGGCTTCCATTCTCTCACTCTCAAGCCCTGGTGCAGGGCTTATTCAGAGTAGCCAAACCAGAGCACAGAGTTGGAGGAGAAGCCACTTTGCTCAACACACAGAATCTGGGAACCAGCTGAGAAACAAGCAGCTATGGAACAGCAGGGGAGTGTTGTGGAAATGTATTTGGAAACATTCTAAAAATGTACTCAACAATTACCTCCCAACCCCTATGCTTTTCTCTTACACTGGGTTTGGTGCTCCTGCCATTAAGAGGTGAGGTCTGTGTTCCCTCTCTCTGAACTGGCATTTATGGAAGTGACACTCTGTTGACTTCTGAGGCTGTGTCATAAAAGGCTGTACAGCCTCTGCCTGGTCTTCTTGGGACACTCACCTTTAGAACCACAAGCCTCCTTGGAAGAAGTCTGAGGCCACTTGGATAGACTACGTGGATAGGCCATGCATAAATGTTCTGGCCAACAGGCAGAGGTCCCAGTCTTTACCAGCATCACCTACTAAACACGTGAAGAAACATGCCTCCAAATGATTCTTGCCCCCAGCATCAAGTCACCCCTAGTTGTCATAGTGGAGGTTCAAGGCATCATGGAGCAAAGACAAGCAGTCTCTGCTCTGAACTCTCTGAATTCCTAACCTACAGAATCTTCACTTTCCCTCAACTTCAGGGGATAGAGGCCTAGGGAGGCCTAGGGGCAGAGGAGCACTGACAGCCCGCCTGCTTATCCGGGCTTCCCCCACCACACTCCTAAATTGAGAAGTTACCTTGGAGGGGACAAGGCTTCTGCCTGGGTCAGTGGGCTTTCTCCCTTAATCTATGAATGACTTGTGGCAAGGATATATGTTTTTGTCCAACGTCTTATGAAAATTTTGAAACAGAAAAGTGGAAATAGTAAAACAAACACCAGTACCCACCATCTACTTTCAAAAGTTAACATTGCCATATGCTTTATGTATGTATAATTTTTCTTACTGGGTATCTGAAGTTAAATTTCAGACATTATAACACTTTACCCCTTAATGTATATCACTGTATATCCATAATATACTATTATCATACCTAGTTTTTAATGCTTAATCAGATGCTCCCTAAATGTGTTTTATTTATGTTTTTAATAGATCGAGCTCCTGCAGCTCAATCTAATCGGGGAGAGAATTTAACCTCGTAAGAGTAGCAAATGGTGACAAATAGCATAAGGGAAACTTGCAGTGTTAGGATCCTGTCCAGGGCTGAGCCACACTGGGAGTCAGGGAAGGCTCGAGACAGAAGCTGGTCAACCGGGCTCTGGGTCATGACCGCCGTAGCGTCGAAGGTTGGTGATGTACCCGCTCTGATCCCTCTCCTCCGCTGGGCCTTTCTTTCACCCGTCTTCCCACAACCCGAAACGGCATGCTCCCAGTGACCACTTCTCCGACGGCGCGGGACCGGCGAGATCTGCGGGTGAGACAAGGGCGCGGGGAAAGGCTGCAAGAACACCAGAACCCAGCCGCGACGCTCCAAGCTAACACCAAGCGCCCGCGCCCTCTACTGACGTCAGGAGCCGCGACTCCCGCGATGCCTCGCGCGAAGCCTTAACGTGCACGCGCGCAGAAAAGTGCACGCGCTGTGAACTGAAGCGCCAGCCCCGCGGTCGGGCATCTTGGGGCCTTCCGCCTCTGTTGACTAGGGGGGCACCACGAAACAGGTCACGTCTCTTGTCCCTGGTCACCGCGGGCGGCCAGGTGGACTCCAAGGCCGGATTTTGCCTGTTCATCTTCACAGAGGAGTGTGATGTTGCCTCCAAGTGCGGCCGCGGAGCCTGGCCGGGCTGCGCTGTCCGGGTGGTTTCCACTGGCCTCTGGACAAGGCCTTGGCGTTGGCACTGGCGGTTCCCTCCCTGACTTTCTGCCCTAACTCCTTAGTCTGCAACTCTTTTCCTGCTTGATTGCTGAACTGCAAGTGGCGACGTGACAAAAGGAAGAACTAAGTGTTTGCGAAAGCTGATGTCCCAGAAGGCCCAGGGTAAGAGGTTAGAGGTATGGGCTGGACGTGGTGTGTGTATAAAGCAGCCCATATATAAAGGGTCCTGGCCTTATAAATGGAATCACACAATGCTTAATCTTTGGCTTCTTTCAACATAATTATTTTGAGATTCATATTGTATGAATAATTCCCTTTTATTGTCAGAGTAGTACTTCACAGTGTGGATGTATTTGTTTTTTATCTGGAATTTGTTTATCCAGTCACCTGTTGATGGATATTTGTTTTTTGTTTTTCCAGTTTGGGGCTGTTACAAATAAAGCTATGTAAAAGTCTCTGTGTGGACAAATGCATTCATTTTTCTTGGCTCCATATGGCTGGGTCATGTGGTAGGTGTTTATGTTTTTAAGAAATTGCTGAGCTGTTTCCAAAGTGGTTGTACAGTTTCACATTCCCACCAACACTGTTTGAGAAGTCTGATTACTCCCCATCTTCACCAACATTTGATGTGATTCATCTTTTTAGTCAGTCATTCTAATAGGTGTGTAAATCTCATTGTGGTTTTAATTTGCGTTTCCCTAATGACATGGTAGTGAGCATCTTTTCATTTGCTTTGCCACTGGATATACTTTAATCTAGTGTTTGCGGGTAGAGCCAGTAGGGTTTGCAGATGGATCAGGTAAGTGATATGAGAGAAGAGTCAAAAGTGACTTCAACTCTGGTCAGTCCCTGAGTGCTTCCTAATATTTTTCTCCCTGACACGCACTGGCTATTCCCTCTGGCTGCCTTGCTAATTCTTAAATCAGCTCTGAAGAGCCACTTTCGTCGATACCCGGAGCCCCTGCCTCTATCTTCACCCTTATAGATCTAATATTCTGTTTATTCATTGTCAGTCCCCTGTCAGCTGATGAGCTTCTGAGAAAGTATGGATGGTTGGATTGTCTCCTGATGATTAGCCCCTAGTGCAGCCCAGCCTCAATCATTTCAGCATATTTTCACAAACTGTACTCTCAAAATTTACATTTCAAAGCATGGGTGCTTTGCTTTAAGCTACTTGCCCGTTTGCTGTGTGATCATGGCATCTTAACATCTGTTTGCCTCAGTTTTCTTATCTTTAAAATGGAGAGCCTATTGATACTTGCCTCCTATAGTGATAAGCATTAAATGCAATGCTTAATATGGTGCCTGGCACATGGTGTCTTTCCCAGTAAAATCCAGGTATTATTTTCTGACCTGAATATTTTGCTACTCCTTTGCTGGAACTCAAATATAGGTGCTTTGCAAATAGTTATCCATAAAATCTCAATCTTTTGTGAAGTAGGTGGGGAAATTTCTCTTTTGAGGTCTGATTACTTGAACCAGATAATTGAATTGCTCTCCTGCTTTGGGATCCACCCTGTTCTGGACATCTCATCCCGCTGGCCACTTAACTTCTGCCATGACTGTGTCCTCTATACTGATGCCCCTGAAAGTGAGGCAGAAGTACCTGAAAAACATTACTTTGTTTCAAAATCTCTTGATGGTCCTTATCTCTTAGCATTCCAAGTTCTTTGAGTTCTGTTCTGTGCCCTCCTAACTCTCCAGCCCAAATGTTAGCTTTAACATTTCATTCCTTCAGTTAAAAAATGTGTAAAATCCTTTCTTTGAGTACCTGCCAGGAACCAAATATTATAGTAAACATCTGAAGCTAAATCTGAACATGGGGCTGGCCCTGCTCTTGAGAGAGCAGTAAAATTATGGGCAGAGGAAGTACGGTGGGAGGACAGGGTGATACAGAAGGTGCTCAGTAGGTAGAGGGGAAGATGTCAGGCAGAGGGACATGTGACCCTATTTTTCATTTGCTTGTTATCAATCAGTGTTTTGTGTCCAGCCTGATGCTGCATCTTGAGCTTTTAATAAGTAGATTTGTCTTCCCAAGATGGGGGCAGGCCCTGGGTCTGGAGCCTGGGGTGGGGCAGATTGTGGAATGACCAAATGACTGGATTCTCCCTGTCCAAGCAGGGCATGTGCAGGAAAAGGTCCCCGGTAGAGTGCAGTCTGTATATTATCAGTCCTGGGCTCAGGGACCACTCCCAGCTGTGGCTCCACCAGGACACTTGGAGTCCTCTCTCCAGGGATGTCTGTTGGTGTGATGATAACTGGAGAAGAAATGCTTGTGCAGATAACCAGATTCCATCTGGTACCAGGGTGATCTTTCTGCTCCCTGACTCATAGCACTGACTCCAGGCTTCTTAGGGTCTAGAGTGGACCAGGAAAGTCTCCTGTCTTTTCAGTAAACAAAGGATGTTGGGGCCATCAACCCAACAGCCATTGCAGCTGCCCCTGACAGTGCACCCTGAGGGGAATTCAGGAAGGAAAAAGAGGATACTGGCCCTAGATAGTTAAGGTACATAACAAAGGAATAATTTCAATAAGTCCAGACTCTTGCATCTTCTTATACATAGAAAAAGGCTAAATTCATTAACTTGAGATGTCTGGTTTTCTTTAATTAGCAGTAATCTTTTGATGTTCCTATTACTTGTTTTTCTTTTCTTTTTTTTCCCTCCAAACTCCTATATATCCTGGCTTCTCTTCAGAACTGTTCCTCAGAGCTATCTAAGTGGCTGAATCCCAGGCTTAAGTCCTCAGTAAGTCCACTGAATAAAACATAATGCTCAACTTTTAGGTTCTGCATTTTTTTTTAAATTGATAAGTGAATTGGTCAACTGGCTCCAGCAACTGGAGACAGCTGTTCCTCATTTCTTGCCTTGGGCAAATACCTTGCCTGAGCTGTAAGGTCCTGTCTCTCTCCTAAAATGGGACTAAAAATCCACGTGAGAGTGTGTGCAAAGCAGCTTCCTAGACCTCAAAAGACAAGCATAAGAGCAGCTGCAGTTACAATAATGACTATGATATTAACAATAACAAAAAAAAACTCAATTTAATGCTTATTATGCCAGGGATTGTTCTCAGTGGTTTACATATATTTATTTAGTCCTACAACCACCCCACAAAGTACGTATCAGTGTAGTAATTAAGAGCACAGACTTTAGAACTAGACAGCCCAGGTCTGAATCCCATTTACTAGCATTGTGACCTGGGGGAGGCCTGTGTATCAGTGCCCCCATCTGCTAAAAGAAGATCATACGAATACTACGTCATAGGGTTGTTATGAGAATTAAATGAATCAAAATTTATAAAGCATACAGACCAGTGGCTGGAAAAAGGTCTTAATTTGATAAATCTCATTTTTATAGGTGAGAAAACTGAGGCAGAGAGAAGTAATTTGCCTATGGTCACACGACTAGTAAATGATGGAGTTGGGAAACAAACCCTAGGCGGTCTGGCTTCAGAGCCTGCACTCTTAAATATGATGCTCCTGCAATAAAAAGGGGATGTCCACATGAATTACTTTATGAAGGAAGTGGGTGGGGGAAGAACTGAATTAATTGATGTGGAAGCTTCTATCACGTAAGATGTCCGTGTTCCTTCCGCTGTGGCAAATGAAGTTTGCAGCAGCTGGCTAGACTGTCCCCAGGTGACCAGCAGTTTCTGGAAGAAGGATCTGAAGCATAAGCAGGGGCTAAGAGGCTGAGAGGCTGAGCCAGGTCACCCCAGGCTTCTACCTCATAATTCACTTACCTTCCTTTTAGCATTTCTTCCAGGATGTGGCATGAAACTCAGGTGGGGTACTTGGTGAATGGCAACTTAAAATGCAAAAATCCTTGCTGAGCTTCTAGGAGTTCAAGTATGTGGTAAACAATTCAAAGCAACAGTTGAATTCTGGGCCCTGGGGATACTGCCATGAGTTGAGGGGCCATTTGGACCTAAGCCTGTAGTTCAAATGGGGAAATGCACAAGTCAATAAGCATATTGTGGGTTGTGGACCCTAAGAATAAACAGGAACTAGTCTAAGATGGGAGGGGTGGGAAGTGTTCCAGGCCCAAGCAAAGGCCAGGAGGCTAGCAAGTTACCTTTGGCTAGGGGCAGGATGGTAATCTGGCAGAATCCTATAAACCTGATTATAGAATATTTTACCCTGAGGGAGAGAACAGAGGTTTTAAGTTCTTAAAAGGAAAGATCAGGTTATCATTTTAGGAGGCTCACTTTGGATCATCAGGGGTCGAGCTCAGGACGTGGAGCCATTCAGTTCGAGGCTGGAGGGGAAGCAGGGAGCTGGTTCGAAGGTGCAGCCATGGTCTAGGTAGTGGTAGGGGGCAGCTTTGGGGTTGGGGCTGTAGGGACACAGGAGTGGCTTGGACTAGCGCTGGGATTTTTGCACAGGCGGTTTCCCCAGCCTGACTTCCATCCTTGCGCCTCGCTCCCTTTCCTCAGTCTTTCTTCTTGGGCCGCCCGGGATCACCCTCGAAGGGGAACAGGCCTTAGTCACCAGGCGGCCGCTTCAGAACAGCACCCAAGACCTCCCTGCCCTGAGGCTTCAAGGGTCTGCGCGGGTGCGGCTCCCTCCCGCCCTCTGGCCCCGCCCCCGCGCGGCCCACGGGCCCCGCCCAC